CACACACACACACACACCGCTCAGCTGCTGAAGTCGGCTCTAGCATCTACATCTCCTCGGCAGCCTGCGACGGCTCTCCAACACACACGCCAGACTCTGCCCCTCTTGCTCCTCGTCCTGTTCAGCCTTACTATGCACACACGCGCCTGCGGCAGCACGCACACGCACACACACACACTCTCGCACCGCAGTGCTCTCTCTCCTCGCCGCTCCGGCACAGCTACAGCAGGAGCGGGAGAGAGGGATGGGCACACGCTCTGCCAGAGGAAGAACTCCTCTCCTCCATCCTGTCTCTTTCCCCTCACTACCTCTGCGCTGCGGCGGCGGCGGCGGCTGCTTTCCCCCTTCCCTGTTTCTCTCTGCCTCTCTCCCTCCCTCCTCCCCTGTCTCTCTCTCTCTCTCCCTCCCTCCTCGCTGTCACACCGCGTCTCGGCAGGAGATGAGTTCGGCTCTCTTCACCGCCTGCTGGTAAGCTGGTGCTGGAGCCGTGCCCCCCCACCCCCCTCCTGAACGAGCTCGCCTGCTGCTGGAACGAGGGGGTCCCGCCTGCCTCCCTGCGCGCCCTCGGCCTGCCCCCCTCTCTCTCTCCGAGTGGGGGCTGCTCTGCTCCTGCCTTCCCGACACCTCTGCTTCCACCTGGGCGCTCTCTCCGGCGCTCGGCCCTGGCATGTGTCAGGAGGATTAGAGTGGAATCATCCCTCTGCTCCTCCCTCTCCCTCTCTCTTTATCCCCACCCTCTCTTCCATTGGCTCTCTCCCAGTGCCTGCTCCTTTCTCTCCCTCTTCCCCTCTCTCTCCATCCCTCTCTTTGTTATTCTAACCTCCCCATCTTTCCCTGTCTCTCCCTATGTCCCTTTTTTCTTCTCTCCTGCTCTCTCCATCCCTCTTTCCCCATCTCTCCCTCTCTCTATCCCTTTCCCCATCTCTCCCTATCCCTCTTTCCCCGTCTCTCCCTCTCACCCTTTTCCTCTCTCCCTCTCTTATCCCTTTCCCTGTCTCTCTCTCTATCCCTTCCCCGTCTCTCTCTAACCCTCTTTTCCTGTCATTCCTCCTCTCTGTATCCCTCTATCAGTGTCTCTCCCCCTCTCTGTATCCCTCTTTCCTGTCCCCCACTGCTGTGACTTTCCCTGCTTCACCTGCTGGTTTTTCTCCTTTGGAAACGTGCCGGCAGACCTGACACCACCCCGAACCACCAGGACGTCCTCTGAGAGCCCTACTCTCTCCTTCCCCTCTCCTCGGCGTCGCACTCGCCTGCCCTCAAGGTCGTGCTCACACGCTGACCCTTCCCCGGCCCTGCAGGGGGAACACACTTTGAATCGGTTTTCAGGTCTTGCGTTTCTCGAGCGCTTCACGTGCAGGAGGAGGCCGAGGTCATTCACCGTGGACACGCGCGCCAGCAGCCCGCCACACCGCGGTCCAGCTGAAGAAGCGAGAAACTGCTACAGTGGCTGAATTAAGGGGGATCTGTAAAGAGGCCAAACTGAATTCCGAGCCAAGGCTTGAATTTAGTAAGGACACCCGTAGTCTTTTGAAGAGTGCCATGAGATCTTTAAGGACTTTTCTGAAGGACAGCTTCTCCTGCAGCACAGTGGTCCCCGTGGGGCACTGGTTTGGGAATTCTGGTCCAGAGGGAAGTGCGCTATCTACTGGTCCACCCAAACCACTTACAGCAGGAACCTGCCTTTTTCTGGAGATCTCCCATCCCACCTCTGACCTGATCCAGCCTTACTAAGCTTCTGGGACCTAATGAGATCAGGTTTCAAGGTGTTAACGGTACCATCCAGAACCCCCACACTCGAGTTAAACAAGCACCTTCTGTTCCTGTTCTCAGTCCTTGACGCCTTTCGTGTCACACGGACAAGAGGACTGGATAACCACGCCCACCGTTTTTACAATCCTGGTATTTCAAATGGGGCACAAAATGGCCTAATAAAATTTCATCCTCACCGGTCTATGCACAATCGCTTTCTTTAACCACTACCAATTATTACTTGGCTGATGATTTTATTCAAAGCACCTTAGATTTGTACATATTTATCTGCCTGGGCAATTTACTGGAGCAATCCGAGTGCAGTACTTTGCTCCAGGGTACAACAACCTGTCTGGAATTTGAACCCACAACCTTCTAGTGCTCCCACCTCTGATCCACACTACTGCACAACCACTCAAGACGCAGCTACTGGAGGTGTTAAATATCTTCATACTTTTTCTTCTTGTATAAAATTAATGTCCTAGCCACGACGCTCAGAGAGACTCTTGACTGCTGTAAGTGAAATCGATTCCGAAAAGGCGAGCTTTTGATTTAACACTCATCTCCCTTTTGCAGGGAGGCAGCAGAGCATTAAGAAAATGTGACAAAAAGCACCCTCCCCCACTTTCAAGTAACATTGGGCCAGGGCAGTCTTAGGACTAACAGATCCAAAAATGAAAAGGCTAATTAAATGAAAGTTGCTCTTTAAAGGAGCTCGCCAACAACCAGCAATGCTGAAGAAACCCAATTAGCAGATGGCAATTAATTCAGCAGTTTTGCTCATGCAATTTACACTCAAAATTACAACAGCAGGCTAGCAATAATAATAAAGCAGTGTAGTACTGTACCATATTTAAGCATACTGCAGTACAGTATCGCAGTACGTTGCGCAGCGCCAGCAAGCATTCTGTACCCACGATGTCACGACAGAGCGAAGAGTGAGGGTGCCCCCATCAGGCCAGAAGTGGAAAAGCACTTTAGGAAAACTAGTAAGATGCCTTAAAATGAGATCCCAACCCCCTAGTCCTGAAGACCCAGTTAATTGTATGAATTACTGTTATTGAACACTTTCATTGACATTACAGGACAAAACGGGACCGTTTTCAGCTCATTAACATGTAAGGGTCTGACATTTATCTATTGCAATAAACAGTCTGCTTTGGAGTAGAAAATATATTTAAAGATTGAAATTAAGAAACGCTTTCAGGTATAAAATAATTATAAAGGTTTGCTAAAATGAAAGCCAGCTGATGTGGGGATCCTACAGACTCATTCCAAGCCTCCCAGTCCTGGTGACCCCAACGCCTACCGATTTTCATTCCAGGTGGGAGCATTAGTGGATGTTTAAGTAAAAGTTCAGGAGAGACGACAGCAAGCAGGATCTCCCTCGTCCCTTATACTCTAATGCGTATTGACTCACATATCATAGGAACTTCTCTCTATGGATGGGGGCCCCCAACGTCCTCATCCTATTGCCAGGAGGTCGGGTCTCAGCCAACAAGGTTAAGCCAAAGTTTATTAAGACCCAAAACCTCACAATCAAAAAGAATCAAAAGATTCTTCAATGCATTTACTTATTGGCATGTATCCTGCAGGTGTCATAAATAACCAGTAAATCAGCAGCTGTCAATGAATCACGGGAACTGGTTAAACTCAATAACGGCAAGACCGTCTGGGTCACAACATCACCTCCATCTCAGAACCAGAGTTCCCCTGATTGAGAGAACAACAGGAATTGGGACGGTTTTAAAAAAAAGATTAAAATTTCAAAGCTCAGCACAGTGACAGCATAAATCCATGTACAACAGGTAGATAGTTTTCTTCCCCCCAAAGCACAAAGACACAGTGGATGGATTCAGGCACTGTGAGGAATGAAACAGGAGTCAATGAGGTTCCGGGGAGAGCAATCAGTATCACCCGTCAGCTGTGCTCCGGTTACAAACACAGGCAAAACACTTCAATCAGTTGAAATCAGCTCAATCAAAACGAACACGAGGGCCACCGCTTTCTCTTATTAAAGGACTTCTGAGGTTTTGATTAACTGAACTGGCCCAAAAGCAGTTTTAAAGGGGGAGATAAGATGTCACAAAATAAACACAGAAAAACTTAAAATTTGACTTTATTCAACAATAGTTATGCAACACTGGGGACAAGCACAACTTTTACAACCCCCAAAACATTTTAAGAAGTCATGCATGTTCTTTACCAGTATTACGTTACCAAAAGTATAAAATGCACATCTGTTTTGTAGAAATGACCCAACCCCACTTACTGAAAGGCTCAGCCAGTAAAAGGGCCTGTCCAGAGCGCAGGTTCAGACATCGCCGGTTCGGGTCCCGTGCTGCGTCATCACCCAGCTGTGGCTGGGGTTTCCCACATGGAGGCTCACAGAAGGGTGGGCGAGCGCGAGGTGACCGCACCCCGCTAGGACTGTCCGC